AAAAAAAAAAAAAAATTAAATAAATAAAAAAATAAATTAAAAAAAAATCAGGCAGGGGTTCTGCCCCACAGCCATAGTTTCCCTACCGCTGAGAGAGCCTCAGAAGCAGCGTCACAGTGCCTGAGCAAGCGAGAGTGCAGATACCCTGGGCTAGAGCTAGTACACATGACGATTGTCTAAATCCCCAAGGAGGAGTTTGCTTCCCTGCAGGCTTCTCTTGAAAGGCCAGATCAAGCTTCCTAATTGGTACAATGGCAAAATGCTCGGGTTGGGTGGTGGCTTTTTTTTTTTTTTTAAACGGTGGGAAACAGCTCACTTTCATGAAATTTTGATTATTACCAGGATATTTTCATCTTGGGCTAAAAGCATATTCATCTAATGGGTATGTTAATACTCAATGACTTCTTCACGAGCAGTAAGTATTCTGCAGCATAGAAAAAAAAAAGATGGAATTTTTACTTTTTCTTATAGACGTACCCTGTCAGAAACTGAACTGGGTTATACCCTGACTAGGCCTCTTGGGGCTTCTGTAAGGGACTGTCCTGGTAGATCCCAAGAGGGTGAGGTCTAGGCCCTTACCACCCTACACGGATCTCAGCTGATCTTAGAAGCTAAGTAGGGTCGATCCTGGTTTGTACTTGGATGGGAGACCAGAGAGGAGAAGAGATCTAATACCCTAACCTCTTCTGTGTATGAAATTGAACCACTGCAGTCCTCTTCTGTCTGGGAAGTTGTCTTTCTCACTTTGGGAGGAACTCTGCCAGTCCCATCAAGTCAGCAAGTGAAATACAGATGTCGAGGTCAGAGCTCTCCCATAGTCCACCTCTGTGTATTTTCTGTTTTACAAAGTTGCCTTTGCTCTGGCTGAGCCCCTGGTTGAGAGGACCGTGCTGGTCGAGAGCAGGCCGAGAAGACTGACTGCGTTCTCCTTCTCCCCTTACGTTTTCTGAGCTCTCTCGCCTTCCAAACCTGTATCTCTTCTGCTTTTTCTGCTCATCCCACTGCTAAGCTACAAGCTTCCTGGATCGTGGTTAGGCTATGCAGTTTGTCTGTCGGGTCTTGCAAGACTTTGCCTCATCCCCTCAGACAGCACTTCAGGGGGAACAGAGAAGGCCGATGTGCCAGAATGAGAGTCCAGTGCATGGGCTAGCCTAGTCTTTCTTCCACCTGGTCTCTCAACTCCTCCCCTTTCTGTATTTGTACCACTTATCTTGTCTCCTAGGCAACCGATGGTGATGCTGTACTTTCCCCACCCACATGGCAAAAAAAGCTCAGGCCCTGCAGTAAGGACAGTTGGCTTTTTTGGTCAGGCCCCAGGGAGTCTGTGCTAGCTGCTTCCTCTCCCAGGGTTTTGAAAGAGAAGGCTAAAACTGCCAGTCAGGCCCTTTCATCACGCTCAGACACTGACGGGCAGAAGATATCAAATGGCCAAGATCCTTAGAAGTGTCCTGAGGCCTTCCCTTCCGGTGTGTGCCAGCCTGATTACTGTCCCTGGAGCACAGAGGACACAGAACTATGGCCTGAGCACCATCCTTCAGTGAACCAGGCGACACAGTCCTGCTAGGCGACGTGGGCACTGGCATAAATAAGGTGATGTGCACCGGGGCTGGAGGGGACTGGAGCCAGGCAGTGCTGTGCACTTCTTTCCCCTCACGCCCACGGCTCCCTCACTTGGTTTGGTTTACCTTAGGTGTGGGTCTCAGTGTCACTCCAAGGCCACACTGCTAGATAACTGAGAACCTATTCCAAAGACAGGGTGCCAGCAGCCACTCCTGTCACCAGCTACACAAAACCAACCCCCAGATACCATAGACTAGCCTGAAATGGTCCTTCATCTGCTCCAAGATGGATCAAAAGCCTCGTTGGGAAATTCTGACGGTTGCGGGCTGATTAATAATGAATGGCTGTTCTCTGAGCACATCTGTGACCAGCCAAGCTTTCTGGGATAAGGCGGTCCTACCAGAGCTCATTTGTTTGCCTGAGCCCTGACCAGTGCTGCCCATCTACTTCCAACCCTCCCTCCAGGGCAGTTCTGGGGGGCCCTGACCTTCCACCTTGAGGTACTGTCTTCTTTGTGCCATTTTGGCAAGAATGGCTAAGGCTAGACTAGTGTTTCATTCCTGGATCCTAGGGTAGAAAAACAATTAAGATAAAAAAGACAAATGTTCAAGCCTGCGTGCTACTGTTGGTTCTGCTTGCCTTCATCTACTCTGGGCCAAATGCTGCCTGCCCTCAGACAAATGGAATGGAAAGTGTCCTTCCTCTTAACTATGAAAGTTTACATAGAATTGCTTTGTGTGTGCATTGTGTGTGTGTGTGTGTGCATACGCGCATGTGTGTATGAGTGCTTGTGTGATAATTCCAGCAAAGCATTTTCATGAGAGGAGACTATGGTCTTACTCCAAGAGCCTAAGACAGGAAAGGGAACCTTAAGCTGTGGACCCCTGAAAGCCAGAAGACATGTGCCTCACAGTACCACATCCCCAGTCCTTAGAGCATAGGCCTGATGCGGTAGGACACTGCTTGTTCATTTCCCCACTGCCCAGACTCCTGAAATAACCACACAGAAACTGTATCAACTAACAGCATACAGAGGGGAATCCCACATCAGCCTGAGGCTACAGAGGGGAAACGGTCAGGGTGTTGTGCAGTGGTCACCACTATTTTTTGTTTGTTTGTTTTTTGAAACAGGGATTCTTTGTTTAGCCCTGGCTGTCCTGGAACTCACTTAGTAGTCCAGGCTGGTCTTGAACTCATAGAGATCTGCCTGCCTCTGCCTCCTGAGTGCTGGGATTAAAGGTGTGCACCACCATGTCTGGCTGTAGTGATCACTACTATTGGTCCTCCCTTTCTCTGTGCCCTACTCTTCCTTTAGAAGGGCAGAGTTAGGAAGGAGTGATTTAGATAAGTTACAGCCAAAGCCCTGGGCTGAGACCTTACTCTTCCGATAAGACCTGGAGCAAGCTGTAGGGACGCAGATCTGCCATCAGCCCTATGGCTCGACCACACTGGGCAAGCACTATGTAAGACAAACCTCAATAACCATGATCTTGGTGGCCCCTCTCGCAGGGAGATAGGATGACCTTGCATCCAAAAGTAAGAAACGTGACTGTTACATGGCCCCCAGAGCCCCCGAGGTTTGGGTCCCCCTGAGCATCATCTCCCACAGTTTATTGCCTCCTTAGGAGGCATAAAGCCAGGCTCAGGAAGAGAAAAGGACAGAACAACCCATCTGCTTTCCATTTGTTTAATGCTTTGAACCTTGTTCCCTTGTCTAGCCCTCACAACATCCCTATGAGGTAGGATGAGAAGCAAACAGTCTGTCCGTGCCACCCAGTGTCAGGAGCTGAGACACTCATACAGCAACCTTGCCAGTATCCAGCTGGCACACCTTTCCGTTCACGACACACAGGTTCTCTGTGCCAGTCACAGACAAGGGTCTTTGGGGTGGGTACTAACCCAGAGACTTCCTTGTGCTCTGAACTTGCTTAAGGGCATTCAGGTGGAGTGTCCCACAGAGGTCAAGGTAAGTACACCAAAGTTCTAGAGGTCTGGGGTCATCAGCTTCCACAGCCATGGTGGTCTCAGATGAGCATTCTGCCTTCTCTGTGTGCCCTGGCTCACTGCTTACTCTCAGAGAAAATCCTCAGGCATGGTCAGGCAGCAAGAATCCCAATTCCCTCTCCCACAGCGCCTTCCCATGCTGTTACACTCCAAAACCCAGGGAGAGGGGGGGAAGGTGAAGGCTGGCTGACTCAGCCTGCAAGTGCTTAGAGATCTGGAGCTGAAAGGCCCCGGCACCATTCAACTAATGATTATTATTAACTCTGAACAGGCCTTGGCACAGCAGCCAGCTGGCTCAGGGGGGAATGCCTGGATCTCCCACAGTGAGGTTTGAAAAACAAGACCCACGGCAGCCCAGCCGTGCATGGGGGTGGAAAGGTGGGGACAATGAGACGGGGCAGGCCAATGTCACGGAGGAAAGGTGGCCTGCCTTGGGAGGGGGAGAGCAAGCACAGGCTGACGAGTGATCGCAGCCTGGCTTGCATGGGGATGCCAGCCAGAGAAGGAAGCAGGAGTTCTGAGGCTGAACTCCTGTCACTCATTCACTGCCACCCCCAGCCCCAATGGGACCCCAAGGGAGGATCCAGGAACAAAGGGGCTTCTGAGAGGGCTCCAAACCTGAACAGTATGCCGGTTACCATTTGGATTTAATACAAAACTATCTTTCTAATGCCCTCAAGGTTGAATCTGAGTATAATCAAGCTTGGAACACAATCAAATATGGAATCAGGACTTAGCACGATATGGAAATTTGTACAAATGATGGGCGACTTTTAAATCTTGAGCATCCTGAGTATCATCCCCCACCCCACTTTCAAAAGCAAAACAGGCTGACTGCTAGCAGCTTCCCCTAGTCAAGGAACACTGGAAAAGGACAGTCACGTCCCCTCCCCCCATGGTCTCTGCCTCTCTGCCAAGAAGCCCAGGTAGTATCCAGACACTGGAAGATACAAAGAGGAAGGGGCAGACAGTGGGAAGAGGGAGCACACAGCCAGCAGGCATATGCAGCCGGCAGCCACAGATCCCAGCTGGAGGAAGAGTACCCTGGCACTGAGGTCTAATGGTTATCCAGCTGCTGCCCCAGGATGTGAGGGGCAGGTGGTGAAGGAGAAGTGGAAAGACAGGAGGGGAGGGAATTCCCGCCCCCCACCCAAATCTGGCCTACCAGCAAGAAGGGCTCATCCTGGTGACCTGCTCCCTATACTGCGGTCAGATCCCTAAGCAGGAGGCCACTGCTACCTGTGCCCTCCTCTCTGCTCTGCACCGATGCCCTCCAGGCCCACTGGTCAGAGGAAGCGACAGCTGGGTCCCTTCTTCCTGCAGAATATAAATGACTCCCCTTCTTCCCGGGGCTGGGAATAGACATCAGATGGCACAGCCCACGCAAACTGCCGGCTGTCAGCACGCCTGCCCGCCCGCCCGCCCACCAGCCCCCGCACCACCTGGGAAGAGGCAACACCTCAGGCAGACTCAGGCTTTCCGGCATCGCCTCTATCTCTGAGAATGAGCTGCTGAACCTTACCTGGCCCACCCTGGGGAGCCCCCAGCACGGGCCTTGATATGGGAAGGAGACAGAGCCCTACATCAAAGTGACCCTAGTGAGACCCTCTTTCATGTGGCCCAGTAACCATTCCACGCTTAAAGCACACTGGACAGCTTGAGAGGGAGAGCAGGCGTTGAAAAAGACAAGAATGGTTTCCCTCTGCGCTGCAGGAGCCTCTGTTCAGTAAGCTGTATTTAGACAACTTATGAGAGATGCTATCTCCCTGAGGAAAAGCACAGTGAGGGCCACTAAGAGGCCACTTCAGCCCTAGGGTCCCCATCCCCATACTATTGAATCCCACCCGCCTAATTTCTGAGCTACCTGGAGAGGAGGCCTTAAATCTTCAGAGGATCCGAGACATAGAACAGATACTTCTCCTTTGTCTGTGCTCAAGCCCCTATACTGCAGGCCTCCCATAGTTTCTGATGGGCTCTGCCTCCCAGGAAGAAAGCTGGGTGAGGACATTTCCTGGCTCAGCAATCTCTACTCCTTATTAGGATCTATAAAGGGTTTGTCTCCTGGACTGACCCACACCACAGCTAAGCGGTTTGACATCCAGTCCTCACCGCTAAGGATGCTCTGAGGAACTCAGCTGGACCAAGGAGGTATCTTGGCAGGGAAGAGAGCCCAGTTGTTACCAAAATCATCCCACTCCTAAGCCAAGGGGCTGGCAGGGAACAGCTAAGGAAAACTTAAATGGCCAGAAGGGAAGGACAACCAGGGAGACACCGAGTTCCTTGAACTAGCTCTTGAAATAGGAGCGGCGGGGCTGCGTCCCCAGCACCCCGGCCGCCTGCTAGCTCATGCCCGAAATAACAACACACAAATTGTATTCTTTTAAACACTGCTTGCCCATTATATCTAGCCTCTTCTCGGCTAACTCTTGCACCTGGACTAGCCCATTTCTAATAATGTGTGTAAGCACCCCAAGGTGCGCTTACCAGGAAGATTCTAGCCTACGTCCATCCTGAGTCGGAGCTGCCTGGGAGAGCGAAGCAGGGCCTCTGCTCCAGAGAGCAGAGCTGTCGAGTCTACCCGGGAGAGCTAAGCATGGCGTCTCCCTGGAACTAGCTCTTGTAGACCAGGCTGGCCTAGAACTCACAGAGATCCGCCTGCCTCTGCCTCCAGAGTGCTGGGATTAAAGGCGTGTGCCACCACTGCCCGGCCACTCCCTGGTTTTTATTTTGTTCCGAAAGCCTAAGAATAGTTCCCTGGAGCAATGTGCTAAGTAAATACTCTAAGTCCTACAGGCAGTGTCAGATGCCCTGAGAATGAATGTCGAGAGAATGCCCAGACTCTACAATCTAGACCCAGAGGTAGCCTGAAGGAAGTTCTTAGCTGAGCTAAGGAGGCCAGGAGTCTGGGGCTTGGTTAAGGACAATGCCCTTCTGTTCCTCCAAAGAACTTTAAAGTGACTTTAGTGCCTTTACTATCTTATTGTCTAGGGGACCCTCAACTCGGTCCCTTTTTTCCATGATTCGTGGCCCTTGTTCCTTGGCTCAAGAGTGGAGCCAGCACAGATTTCTGAAGGATGCAGGTATAGAGTTGTCCTTCCAGGGGAGTGAAGGAAGCATGGAGGAGAGAATTACATCCTGAGCTGTTCACATGGTCCAGAGCTAAGGGGGTATTCAGTAACATCAATCTGCCAGACACTGAATGTTAAAGGATGCGGAAACTGAGGTCCTGAGATATGGAGCTTGTCTAAGGGCGACTGTACAGCACAGCCAAAGAGACCACGGGCTCTCCACAGTACTGCCTTTCCAAAGGGACCCCGATATCTGTCTGTGGCTGTCATTCATAACCAACAGGAACTCCACAAGCAAATAGTATCACCACCGTCACCATCAGCACCACCACCTAATACTTTTGTATCCCATCAAGGTGAGGCTTCAGGTTCTCCAGAACCTTCCACTTGCACCCAGTAGTACATTTCCCCCATTGGAGCCCACCAGATCATCCCTCAGCAGTAACAGCTAGGGTTTCTGCACCCTGTGGCTCAACCACGCAGTGCAAAACATCGTCTGCCTCTGAGGTGTGCCAAGGAACTGCTGAAGTCCAAGAATCCCGCCTAGGCTCAGAGTCTGGAGGCATTCACATTTCCACTTTCTTCCTTGGCAAGTAGGAGCTGGAGATCTGGTGCATGATCACCAGGGCTGGGTACACCGGTAGTGCCAGGCACAGGTACCAGGCTGCACCTTTAATCTGGGCCTGGAACCACACTGAGTACATGCCCAAGAGCACTGTTACTGTAGCCATCAGGTAGACGACCAGGCCGCAGGTCAGATGGTAGAGCTTGAGACGAGCCACCCTTGAGACCCGGGCTGCCCGCGGACAGAGGAGGCCGAGCCCACACAGTGCCTGTCCCGCAGTGGCCACGAGTGTCAGAACTCCTATCCAGCTGTGCCAGGACACCATATGGGACAGCTCGCTGCGGATCTTGCTGGAGATGATAAAGCCCAAACCCAGGATAGCGCAGAGGATGGCCATGGTCTGCCCTGCCCAGTGCAGTCGAATCCGGGTCTTTCGAGAGCAGAAGAAGAACAGGGAGTGCTCAGGTGAGAGGAGTAGGATAGCTTCAGCCATGCAGAGACAGAACTGTAAACACAGAAGGTCAGTGAACCTCTGCTCTGCCTGGGGCCCGAGAAAAAGGAGGTCTTATCCCACGTCCAGAAAAACATGGGAGCTTAAAGGGACTTCCTGCCTCACACGCGCCCTTTCTGGACCACAGAACAGCAAGACCTTGATAACATCCCTCTCACTTCTTCCTTTCAGACCCTCGAGGAGAAACAGCCCCTCCCCAAATCAAGCCCCTGATAGTTTACTACATTTCCCCCAATCCTATAGGTTTCAGGGAAAGATGAAGCCTTCTTTGACCCTATCTCTCTGATCTTTAGAAAGGCTGAAAAACTGAATGCTTTCCCCAAGGGTTAAGGTAAGTATATTCAAACTCACCGCCAAGGCCATGAACACAGGGTGCCAGGAGAAAAGACCTAAGTAAGAATCAAAGAGAGCAGGCTGACAGCTGGACATCACTGATATTGCAAAAATCTGGCCACAAGGGAAAGGTCAGCATACCGTCTCAAGCCTAAGCAAGAATCAGGAACTCACCGCAAAGGGGTAGCGGCCAAGGGGCCCTTATACCACCTTGGCCTGAGTTCTGCATCTGCTGCCAGCCCAGTCCTAGAGTAGACCTTAGTCTGTCCGAGACCCTCCCCGCGCCTTTCCATAAGGGACCTCATTCTAAGGAAGTGTCAGTTCTGTCTTTTCAAGTCCCACCCTCCCAGGATTTCCGGGGACCCACCCACTACGCCTTTACAACCACTCCTCGACCCGCCCCTCCTCAGCTGAGGGTCTAGGTTTCTCGTATCCGAGCGTGCCCAAAGCAGCCCCTCCAGCACCTAGGCTCCGCCCCCTCTCATAGCCCCGCCCCTCCCTCCCCGCACACTCACTGGTTCCTGGCCGGGACAGCACAGTCAGAAAGATGGTGAAGCCCAAAGCTATCAGGTGCGCCAAGATCCCACTGCCTCTCCGCAGCCAGCGGGTCAGTCTCGGCTCCCTCGCTGGAGCGGGAACCAGACCTACCTCCTCGAGCTGCATGGCAATGCCAAGCCGGCCGGTACAGTCCAGCAAACAGAGGCTTCTTCCGGGTTTGCAATCGCGGAGGCGGCGGCGGCTACAGGAGAGGCTCCTCCCCGGGGAGGCTTCGGGGCCGTGTGGCGGAGGCGCCCACAGCGCCCTCTGCAGACTGGGGGGGAAGCGCTTCGGGCCCCAAAGGGCGGCTCCCGGAAACCTCCATTGACCTAACCGAGCTCCCAACCCACCTTCATTTCTACTTTTGTATCTACAAGGGTATCTTAAGCCGCCGGTGAAAATTACATCCGTAGCAACTGATAGCAGCGAAACTCCAAATCACACACTTGGTTTGCTGACCCAAGAGCGTGACCCAGTGTTTTGAGCAGCTTTCCAGAAGGACTGGATTCCCCTGGCTGCTCACTCTGTAGACTTTTCTAGCTTGTTCAGGTACGAGATTCCTCCCTGCCCAAACATAAACAAAAAGAAAAAGCCAAAACATAGTGACCCAAACCTGGTGAATTAAAAAATGAGAACCGAAAGACGTAGTCGCATCCCTATTTACAGGAGTAGTTGTCCCCTGTAAGATATTCCAAAGACCCGAGGCACTTCCAGTTTTTGTCACCTCCACACCAGCTATGCAGCCTTGAGGAGCGAGGTGATCCAGAGGAACCAGGGCCCCCCCACAGCCTCAAGTTCTGTAACACTATTACCTCCAAAAGGGTATGGCCCAGCCTATCCGAGAGAAGCTTTATACCGTTCTTCAGGAGGCAGGGGCTGGGGAGATGGCTCAGTGGTTAAGAACACGTCCTGGGGTTCACAGCTTACTGGAACTAGCTTGGGGGATCCCACACTTCTGGCCTCCACAGACATCACATGCACATACCCACACACACATAATTAAAGAAATTAAAAAAAAAAAGCGGGCCAGGACTTCTAGAGTAGTTATCACCAAGTTCAACCTCAACATGGTTGACAAACTAAGGCTGAGTTTAGAGGTGGGAAGGGCAAGAACAGCCGAAGAGACCGAGGAAATAATCTGTAGTGGGATGGAAACTGAATTGCAAAAGAATCAGAAAAGGGCCGTAAACTAACTCCCACAAATCCTCGGGACAAAAACTCCAGGGCAGAGTCAAAAGTGTAACTCCCCTCCCTTCCTTGTTTCCTTTCCCAGAGGAGCCTGAGTTGTCTCTCTGGGACGCCTCGCTCATTCAGGGCCATATGCCTTCTCCTCCTCTCAGGAAGGAGATGCCTACTGACACCAGCTCCAGGTTGTGTGCCGTGTGTGTGTGTGTGTGTGTGTGTGTGTGTGTGCATGAGTGTGTACTGCGCTCATTGTCTCAGCCTCTCGGGACGGGGCTGGGGAGAGTAAAGACACTCGTTCAGCTACATCATTTTTCATCCTTTTCTATGTTTCTGTTTTTATATTTTCTTAGCAGCAACAGAACAGGGAGACAGTCTTGAGGTATTTTAAAGAGTTTTTTTTTTCTTAAAAAAAATAATATAAAGTTATAAAAAGCGGCAGCAGCCTGGGGCCCGGATCTGGAGGGGAGGAGGTGCTGGCGGCTCCGTTGCAGTGGGCAGGCACTTTCTCGTTAATGGGCTTTTGACTGCAGGAAGACAAGAGGTAAGAGACAGGGTCAGGGTAGGGGCCTACCTAGTATCCTTCCCTGTGAACATCTGGGCTAACCCTTGAATTCCTTCTGCTGGCCTGATAAATACGACTAAGCAAGGAGAAAAAGAATGCCAGCCTAACAGAGGCAGACTGGGTAGTGAACCTGGAGAACACACATACACACACCTGTACACACAGAGGCAGGTCCTTTACCAACTATCAGATTTCCCTCATAGGTGCCAGGACAGTGAGCATGCGCCTAATCCATGCCTCAATCAGGAGCCTATGATCCCGTCTCACCTCCCAGGAATCCCTCCTTACAGAGATCACAGGGATAGATGAAAGCACCCTCCAACAGAAAAGGTAAATAAACCTAACTGCAAGCTTTACTAGAAACCTGGAGAATCTACTATAATCCGAAGTGACTCTGTGGACCTTAAACTGAGTACTTGCTTTCTGATGTCCTAATGCCAGAGGAGGAACCAAACTACAGCAGCCCCACTCATCAGCCACTCAGGATGCTGGGACCCAGACTCCCTTCCCCTTTAGGAAAAGTAGCTCCAAGTCCTGGAGGGAGGACCACAGACAGCTCAAGAAGAAATGGTCCTTAGACTAAAGCGCAAGTAAAGGTGGGATGGGGCTGGGCAGAGGAAAGGTCCCTCAGGCAGAAGCTGGGGTCACCTTGGAAACAGCTAACCAACCTTTCCCTAGTGTAGATGGCCCAGGAGTTCTCTCAGTTTCCCCTTTATTCCCTTTTCTGGAGTCGTCTCCTTAGCACCTTCTCCACGTCACGTACCTACTGTGTTCCCCAGCCTCAGCCCTCCTGACCCCTCTCTGCCCGTGTCCTTCAGGAAGCTGGACTGGTACCTTCAGTGTAGAGCACTTCTCCTCAAAGGGCAGGGCTGGACCTGGTTTCTTACGACGAACAGAGCAGGTCCCATCAGGAGGGACACCCGCCTGACAGTGCTTGGCCTTGACTGGCCGGCAGTAAGTGGCCAGGTTTTTCCGCTTCTTGGCTACCTCCTCCTCGGAGAGGCAGTTGGTTGGCAGGACCTTAGCTGGGTGTCCAGCTGCTCCCCGGTTCTCTATTTGAGAAGCCTTGACTGGTATGGGGGATGAGTGAGGGGAACCCCGACAGTCCAGGGGGCCTGCTCTTTTCACTCTCGGCCCCACTGTTCCATTAAGCCCCATGCTCAGGGTTGCTTTAGTCTTGGCTGAGAGACCCCGACAGCCAGAGGGTTTGCCTTTTCCAGCAGGCTCCAGGATGCAGGTCCGTTTGAAAGTGGTAGGGCCAGGGGATAACTTCCGCTTTCGAGAAGGGGCCTCCATCTCCACCCCTTCCTTGCTTTTGGACGACTTGCTGGCCTTGGAAGGTGGCAGCTTGCTGAAGGACGGAGATGGAGTATTGGCAGGCAGTGGTGAGGTAATAGCCTGGCTACCGCCCATGCACTCTGCCTGGCTGCAGGCAGCTGCTACACTGGGGGAGCCTGCAGGGTAGTTAGGGACAAGGCTGTCCTTCATGGGGGGTATGGAGGCTGGGCAGGCAGGTCGGGGGGATGGGCCTGGGAGTCGGGGGCAGCTGCCCATAGAGGATGGACTCAGGGGATCAGCTAAGGAGGGACTGACAAGATGGGATGAAGGTTCAGCCGCTGGTGGGATCTTCCTGCAGCAAAGAGAGAGCTTCGCTGTGATACTGAGCAAACTCCAGGGCCTCCCTAAAGTACACCAGTCTCTGCACCTTCAGATGGCCAGCAAGGCCCCAAGGCTGCTGCCCCCTGCTGGGAAACACTGGAACTAAGAGCCGAGGAAGGCACAAGAGAAGGAATGACCTATCAGTACAAGGCATATGAACTAACAGGCTGACCCATTAACAATCTCATTTGTGGTCTTAGTTCGAGCATTTCCCCATGCTGCATTACCTAAAAGGTTCTGGAAGTGATGGGTAAGACTCTAGATTGACCCCGACCACCCACCCACGCCCTCCTCCAGGCTACCAAGTCTCACCCAGTCATGCCACACCCAATTTGGGTTCTTAGCAATCAGCCAATGCACAGCAGACTGGGGCTTCTGAAGCCCAAGGATAGATACTCAAGCCTGAGAAATTAAGTTCTGAGTCCACGAAACTCACTTCCACATGTGTGAGCTGAGATGCCGTTCCAGCATGGAGCTGAGTGCCGAGCAGAACCGGTCTAGCCGGCGGCTAAACACGTAGCATCCTGGGCTCACCAGCCGGCTCCCAAAGGTGCAAAACTGGAGGCAGAGGAAAGAACATGGTTGGTAGAACCTGAGATACAGGAAGGCATCTGCCTACGAGACTTAGCCACCCTCCATTCCAGCTCCCTGTCCTGTGTGTCCTTACCGCCTGTGGCCTAGGGGGCCGGGTTGCATAATGGCAGTCAGGGGAAAGGTGGAGGTCATCAGATGTCCCCTCCTCCTCACTCTCCTCGCTGGAGGCCTGGGCCCCACCCCGGGGCAGAGGGAAAGGGAACAGGCCTGGATCCCCATCACCACCACAGGGACCTTCATCATCCACCTCACTCTCAGAGGAGGCCTGGGACCTGGAAGGGCCAAAGGGACACGAGGATGATGTGAATGATGCAGGATCAGAGTGGGGGTGCCATGCTCAAACAGTCAGGGCACTCGGGGGAAGAGGAAGGGCTTGGGCAGGGACGGGAAAGTACAAAATAGATCACTGAGAGACAGAACCAAGGGCCACAGCTTCCAAGGGATTCTCTCCCCAGGCCTTTCCTCGGCCTTGCCTCTTCAGGGAGAAAATCTGCTTCAGACTTGCTTCCTCAGCAAAATCTTCCCGGCATAACTACACCCAGCACCGCTCAGCCTAGTCAACTCCCTCAACCCTCCTCTTTATCACGCTCTCCCGTGAGCCTGTCTAGGAACCCGGCCTATTATGCTCCATGTCTACCCCTCCTGCTGCAGATGGAGGTGCGTTTGAGGCTCCTTCCGTAAGACAGGCTCTGCACACAAAGGGGACAGTAGCACTGCTTCACCCAGGGCCCTGGCCCGTTCAGTTCCCTGATGACAAGATGGGAGTAGCTGAAGAAAACAGTTCATATCCCGGGTATTGTATCTGGCATACCTCACAGAGGCTGGAGTGCTGCAGTGTGCTTGGGCAGAAGGGCAGTCACCTGCCTCACACCACTGGTAGGGTTCTAGTTACCTTCCCATGCTTAGGGGAAGTGAGCACACCTCCAGAACACCCTCGGTCTATCTCCAGGGCTCCCTGACACCTTAGGGACTGAGTACCCCCCAGCTAGTTATGGTAAAGACTCTGTACATACCTGGGAAGTGCACAGTATGGATAGGCCTGCTTAGAACGAGCAGAGGTGCTGCTGGGGGCAGCTGCTACCACTGCACCCTGGATGGCGGAGGGAAGTTCCTGGGAGGGGCGCTCGAGA